TAAATATTTTGATGCAATATTCATGCAAAATGCACTAAAATACTTATGAACTGACATAAGATAAAGACACTTTCACACTAAGCATGACTGCTATACATTTGTTTTTTATATTTTTTCAAATTAATAGTAAGTCCACAATGAACTGACAGCTTTTCTGTAGAGCTTGCTGACGTTTGAGATCAGCAAGAGTTTTATTACTTTTTACAGACGTCTCTTCTGCTCAGCGAGGCTGCATTTATTTGATCAGAAATACAGAAAAACACTTAAAATTGTGAAATATTATTGCAATTTAAAATAACAGTGTTTTATTTTAATACACTTTAAACTGTAATGTATTTCTGTGATGCGCAGCTGAATATTCAGCATCATTCCTCCAGTCTTCAGTGTCACATGATCTTCAGAAATCAGTATAATATGCTGATTTATTATTACATTACAGTAAATCACGAGATAAGCAGCTTGTTTTATCGGTCTGTGATATAGCGTCTGTGTCTGTGTCGATGTGAAGGTCTAGGCAGCACAGGCCGAGTTCAGGTGATTCTGTTTCTCGCTGGATCTGGAGGACTTCCACCGAATGAAACCACCTTCGCCAAACTCCTGCAGAAGCAGGGCTACACCACCGGCATCGTGGGTAAGACGTGTCCAGTCCAGTCACGCTTTACACAGTACAGATCGTTCTGAAGCAGCTTCACACTGATGCACAGGAGAATCAGTGCAATCTTCATCAAACGTGAGACTGATTCAAATGCTGCTGTGAAGCAGATACAGCAAGACGGTGTTTAGCTCAAGTCAGAAATGTTAAAAATGATAGTATGCATAAAGAAATCCACTGAAGAGATAGATCACGATCATATACTCACCCTCATGTTGTTCCAAACCTGTGTGACGCTTGAAGAGCTTTGGGAACCAAACACTGGCACACTGGAGCTTAAAGACCGTCAAAAAAAACAGAAAACATTTCTCAAAATATATTCTTTGGTGTTGCACAGATGAAAGTGTCTTGTTTTCATTTCATGGATATACTATTATAGGTTTTATTCATATTTTTATTTTATTTATTTCCACTGATATAAATTATGTTATTTTAATATCATAATATACTGTTATATATATATTTTTTTTTCATTTTCATTTTAGTTACAATTTTAGTAATTTTGTTGTTTTTTGTCATTTTTAGTATACATTTTTTTAGATGTTTCAGTTATTTTAGTACTTAGTTACAATTTTGGTAATTTTTTTTTAAATGTCTGTATTATTTGTAATAATTTCTGTTTTAGTTATTGTAGCACTTCAAGTTAAACTTAATGAGAATTTTTAAAAATATTTTTAATGTTAACATTAAATAATAATTTATTTTATTTCAATGAGCTAACATGTTTTTTTATGGATTTAGATTTAGTTAATGATAATAACCCTGAGAGAAAGCCATTGGGGTTTGGAACGACACGAAGGAGAGTAAATGATGCCAGAATGCTCACTTTTAGGCGAACCATCAATTTAAGATAGTTTGCATTGAGACATTATTATCCAGGCAAATAAGCACATTTCCCTGCATTCATACGTCTTATTGACAGTATTTTCATGAGTTATTGTCTCATTTGGTTTTATGAGTACTTACAGTGTGTTCACTTTTCTTTCTTTTTTAGGGTTAGGTTTTTATTTGCTTTTAGAGCAGTACATAAGACAAACTATAGGAAGACGACACCAAAAATACAAAACAAAGG